ATGCTGACTATGTTTGCTTTTTGTCTCAAGTGATTGTATTTTGAATTTAATAGATCTATACAAAATAACTTTATGGTGCCAGCTTTATTGACTAACAGCTCCACATTAACCTAGCTCCGATGAGTTTTGATGCAATAATCAATTATTGTATTGCTTGTTTAATTTACGTTATAAATGGAGAATTTTAGTAGTTCCTGCATTTTTAACAAAACTGTACGCAGAGTTAAAATTAGTATGACATGATAGCAAGCGCTTTCTGCTTCATTCACAATGTTGACCATACGTAAGTCACTTAGGGAATTAACACGCTTTTGGTAGGACATATATTTTTCATAGATATTGATTTTCCGTAATGTTTCCACTAGGAGCGTGGCAGTATGTAGTTTACAGGTATGTGTGTCTACTAAATATTTAATAATCAGAAACAACACTTGCCTGCCTTCATAGATATTGTCAGTGTCTCCATAATTATATACTGACATTATATCATGTGTACGTCTCCATATATACTGTCTATGTCTACATATACACTGTAAATATATCAATACAAACTACTAACATATCCATCTTTACTGTCAGTATCTTATATTTACTGTCAGTTCATATAGTCTGTAAAATATCATTATATAGAGAATAATACATGCCTTTTTCCATATCACAACACATTGGTCGAGGGTTGATACTGGGTGTGATATGGTAAAAGGCATGTTTTATTCTGATTACATACTTACTAATACAATACGGATATACATGTATATACTAGCTTATGATCTATTTTTCTTTTGAAGTATTGAAAAACGAACAATTTCATATTGGTTTAGCGTGCTGAAACGGAGAGGGTTGATACGGAGGGGCTGATACGGGTTTTGGGGTGTGATACGGCGGGGGCTGATATGGGTTAGAGCAATTGTGTCGTATCGCATATACAAATAAAAACCCTAATTTATTACTAAGTATGTTATAAAACCAGATATTCAACGAAGTCAATAATTATTATATTAGTTACTAAATAATGTTTTAATGATCGAAAAAGACGGAATTTATGACAAACGTACAAAGGCAAGGACTGCATTTGGCGGAGAACATTGTGACGTCACAATTAAAGTGACGCTATACAATAAGTAAAGAAAGGCCGAGTCGATATTACAAATCCCCGACCTCCACGTGATTATGATACGACCAATAAGGATGTATGAAAAATGGTTGTCATCTAATATCTTATATATACAATATGTACTGTTTATATCAATGTCTATATATATACTGTTAATGTCTATATATACTGTTAATGTATATATACTGTTAATGTCTATTTATACTGTTAATGTCTATATATACTGTTAATGTCTATGTATACTGTTACTGTCTATGTGTACTGTTAATGTCTATGTATACTGTTAATGTCTATATATATACTGTTAATGTCTATATATACTGTAAATGTCTATATATACTGTTAATGTATATACATGTATATACAATTAATGTCTGTATATACTGTTAATGTATATGTATACTGTCAATGTCTATGTATACTGTTAATGTCTATATATACTGTTAATGTCTATGTATACTGTTAATGTCTATGTATACTGTAAATGTCTATGTATACTGTTAATGTCTATGTATACTGTTAATGTCTATTTATACTGTTAATGTCTATATATACTGTTAATGTCTATATATACTGTTAATGTCTATATATACTGTTAATGTCTATATATACTGTTAATGTCTATATATACTGTTAATGTCTATATATACTGTTAATGTCTATATATACTGTTAATGTCTATATATACTGTTAATGTCTATATATACTGTTAATGTCTATATATACTGTTAATGTCTATATATACTGTTAATGTCTATATATACTGTTAATGTCTATATATACTGTTAATGTCTATATATACTGTTAATGTCTATATATACTGTTAATGTCTATATATACTGTTAATGTCTATATATACTGTTAATGTCTATATATACTGTTAATGTCTATATATACTGTTAATGTCTATATATACTGTTAATGTCTATATATACTGTTAATGTCTATATATACTGTTAATGTCTATATATACTGTTAATGTCTATATATACTGTTAATGTCTATATATACTGTTAATGTCTATATATACTGTTAATGTCTATATATACTGTTAATGTCTATATATACTGTTAATGTCTATATATACTGTTAATGTCTATATATACTGTTAATGTCTATATATACTGTTAATGTCTATATATACTGTTAATGTCTATATATACTGTTAATGTCTATATATACTGTTAATGTCTATATATACTGTTAATGTCTATATATACTGTTAATGTCTATATATACTGTTAATGTCTATATATACTGTTAATGTCTATATATACTGTTAATGTCTATATATACTGTTAATGTCTATATATACTGTTAATGTCTATATATACTGTTAATGTCTATATATACTGTTAATGTCTATATATACTGTTAATGTCTATATATACTGTTAATGTCTATATATACTGTTAATGTCTATATATACTGTTAATGTCTATATATACTGTTAATGTCTATATATACTGTTAATGTCTATATATACTGTTAATGTCTATATATACTGTTAATGTCTATATATACTGTTAATGTCTATATATACTGTTAATGTCTATATATACTGTTAATGTCTATATATACTGTTAATGTCTATATATACTGTTAATGTCTATATATACTGTTAATGTCTATATATACTGTTAATGTCTATATATACTGTTAATGTCTATATATACTGTTAATGTCTATATATACTGTTAATGTCTATATATACTGTTAATGTCTATATATACTGTTAATGTCTATATATACTGTTAATGTCTATATATACTGTTAATGTCTATATATACTGTTAATGTCTATATATACTGTTAATGTCTATATATACTGTTAATGTCTATATATACTGTTAATGTCTATATATACTGTTAATGTCTATATATACTGTTAATGTCTATATATACTGTTAATGTCTATATATACTGTTAATGTCTATATATACTGTTAATGTCTATATATACTGTTAATGTCTATATATACTGTTAATGTCTATATATACTGTTAATGTCTCTATATACTGTTAATGTCTATATATACTGTTAATGTCTATGTATACTGTTAATGTCTATGTATACTGTTAATGTCTATATATACTGTTAATGTCTATGTATACTGTTAATGTCTATATACTGTTAATGTCTATATATACTGTTAATGTCTATGTATACTGTTAATGTCTATGTATACTGTTAATGTATATGTATACTGTTAATGTCTATGTACACTGTTAATGTCTATGTATACTGTTAATGTCTCCATGTAAAATTTTGACGTTTCCATGATAATGGGTTGGGGTTGCATCATTGAGACATGTCATTGGTGTGGTAGACTATCAATAACAGGGCTCAATGTGCAAGGTGGCGGTTTTTGTTCCCTCACCTACTGTAGTCATAAGGAGAATGGCATTGCATTTGATTATGAAATGCAGTCTATGTTACACCTTCTCGGGAGGGTGTTCAATACATGTATTGAAACATGTTTTTTATGTTGTACTAGTACATAACTTGCTGCTTGACTGATAGGTGCGAACCATACAACATAAATACTGTCACTATTTCCAGGGTATTGTCATCTTCTCTGTCTATCGTATTATGTTATCAGTGTCATTATATGAATTGGCACTATCTCTATGACTTTTATGTCACGTCCCGATTTATGTATGTTGTAAATGTCTCCGTTTGTAACGTCATTGTCTCAGCTTACAGTCAATATATATTTACAAATGTTAATTAAAAAGACGTTTAGCGGTTTGAAGGATCAATGAAGATGTAATTAACAAAAAAGACAACGTGAATCATTACGTAGGATCACAGTAGATGTTATTAGCCTGACTCTATGACCGCCTCAGTTCCACGTATCACCCTACACGTCTCCACCCTTACCAGACTTCATAGCGTGTATGACGATCGTAAACGTTGCTGTGTGGATAACGGACATTTTATATGAGCGCAATTCGAAGTGGTATACCCGTAAGATCAAAGGACTGGGTTGGCGACAAAACAAAACAAGACAAGAGGTATCACAGCCCTCCACAGCCACTTCTAAACACTGCCATTAAAGTGATGGCACATAGCACCGCGTTGGTATTTTACAACGCAACATCAACACAAATTTCCTTGTGAATTCGCCGTACATGCCCATAAAAGTCAGGGTTATTATTGAAGCTTTCAGAAACAATTGCGGAACGTTTATTCCGGGTTGCGTAATAAATCATTTTCTTAGAATTAGAAAAAAAGATGTTTCATATGAAACAAACATTAACCTGCTTTATGTAGGGACAGCGGATGATTTATAGAAACTATTGTATTAAAAACAAATGATATCCAAACAAAATTGCATTTTTTTCTTTTGCCATGGCAACATTGAAGACTTTGGCTTGTGTGAGTGGCGTGGAGGGAGGTTTAGCATGGTTACACACGTGTATTAGACACACGACCTGCAGGGACTCCTCTTGTGACAGAAAACTACACAATTGGCAAGAATTCTTCGTTACCGTTCTCTTATATAAGCCACATCCATTCAATGATAAACTTCTTTTTTGTATCTCTACAAAAAACACTACCTGGTAAAAAACCATTCTGGAACACTAGGTCTTTTTTGTCAAAATAATTGTGTACATTTGTTCCTTAATTCCGGACAAAGAAATTATTATGATTAAAACAATTCTCCATGATCTAAATATACTCACTCGGCATCAATATTGGACGGTTAGTGGGACATATACAATTATATCACGTAAAATGGTGAAACTTGAAAATACATGCAACGTGTCTAAAAAAACTAACATTCAATGACCAGAAGGATATATTTTGTATTTGTTGTTCTATTAAGCTTATTTTTTTAAAAAAAAGGTAAAATTTATATTTTGTAACTTAATGCTTCTTACCTTCCAAGTGATGACTTTGAAATTTGGGTAGCGTCTTTAGCAGGGTAGATAATCCTCTCCTTCAGCTGCTGAAAGTTACCAAAAGGCATTCTCCGGGGGCTACTCTATAGGAAACTCGGGCCGCGAAACCGGGTGTACCATAGACTCGAAGGAAAGCGTTGGAAATTGTCACGAAGTGGAACGGCAAATTCTTTTGATGTAAGTGTTTGTGAATGGACTGCCAAAAAGTGCGTAGGTGGTAAGTTATGGACTGTTACTTGCACCGTATCCGACTCGTCAGCCAATCAGATGGCTCACACATGTGAAATATTTATGAACCGTTCCCTTTATGAAGCAGGTACTTGGGTTGATGGGACAACTGTCACACCAGAGCAATCAACATGTCCGATACAGTAGCTAGGTATGTATGTACCTGTCCCAGGGGGCCATTAGTAGATTGATTTCCTCTAAATATTACTACTGCTGTGGCGATGAAGATGCGGTATGGCCGTGTCTGTGAGAGGCTGCCGACACACACACCCCGCTATTGATTACAGACTTACATTCAGTCCGTACATAACCGGTCCACATACGTCCGCTCGTCCGTTATAGCTAATTAAATAACATTCCACACCTGGGTACCCAGGCGACCAGACCAGGAGCTGACAAAACACCTACACATATAAACCAGAGACAGAAAAAAAATAGCATTTGTCTCTCTACCACACATAATGTTTTCGAGTTGTATTTTTATGTTTCTACTCATCAGTGTGGATACTTACTGTTGCTGACAACCGGAACAAACTATCACGCTATAATTAAAAAGTCTTCAGTCCCGGAATATCAAGCTCAAAGATGTTCATGAATCTGATTCTTAAAATGTTAACAGACGCTGATGACAGCTTATCATAATGGTTCGAGCATTCAGTAATCAAACGTATATCGTACATTACATAGTCCATTTATATAAGTACATGTAAAAACGAGCGGGATGGCAAATCATGTCTCTAGTGTTTAGTCAAAAGTGCTTTTATTACATGTATTATTTAATTATTTAGATACATATTGACGCGCTATAACTTGTATCACATTTTATCCATTTATTTGATTGTTCACGCGGTTTTTTTATTTGTGTCATTTTTAAGATTATTAAGTCATGTTATATATAGTTTAAGTATTATTGCGTTCTGACCTTTTAATGTCGGTATATTACCGAGGTGGTAGAAATTTAAGTAATTTTCATCAAATGAAAAATAACACAGAATGAAAACAAGCTAACAAACAAATTATTTAAACACTATGTACGGCTTTGCAGGGGCGTTTCTATGTAGCATGCACTTCCGACTCACTGGTGCCCTTATTGTAGTTCTCCATATCCTCTACTAGAGTAACAATGGTTTCATTTACAGGTGTGATTACAAACACTACTGCAATCCGGTAACACGGGTGTTTTAGACAGGACACTGATAGTTCGGATATATAGATATATATACAGATGAAAGCACGGCCGTGTTGGACGTTCACTATGCCAGCCTGGGAAATTATCTTTATGGAAATATACTTTGACAAAAGAAGAATTAATCTACAAGGGTAATACATTGTACTAGTAGCTGATGTTATAACGGAGGGTAGAGCTACGCTACAGTGGCTGGAGAAAAACAGTACAGTAGTGGATGAGGTTATGAACCTGGGCAGCACATCCCATGTACATACACACGTATGAAACAGTTCGTGGATAGCTTTTTAACTGCTTTGTAAATATAGAAATCCATCTGTTTGCAATCTTTTGTTGCATTGCAGAAATAAGAATACCATAATTGTATATGAACAACTACTGTATCTGTAAATTCAATGGAATAAAACGTTCTGTGGGCATTCTTCTTCATTAAAGATAAGCAGCCCAAAAGAGGAGATGTTCTGCCCCAATTGAAAATTATGTTTCCCCAAATGAAGATATGCTGTCCCGTTGAATAAATGCTATCCTCGTTGACACCGGCTGTTCCTTTGCAATAATTGAAAAATATGTCATTCATCATGTGTCCTTTCCTTTCTACATGTATAATCTTGTATACTTCTTTGACACGTGTCGTCAAATGATCTATAGGCTGTTTCTGAACTCTATTGCATTAATTGTTATCCTTCCGATGAACTCTTTTGACACCCGTCGCCATATGAAAAATATGCGATTTACTTTAAACATATTGTATTGCCAATTGAAATTGAACAAGGGATTAGGCACAAGTAATTACAACTAATCATCGCCTTCTACCGTCATACATTTACAACTACGTGATAACAATGATAATAGGCATAAACATATGAAATAGAGGTATATAACATTTACATAGACACAAATACACAACGTAGATCACCGGTCAAAATATAACATTCACATAGACACACATACACAACGTAGATCACCGGTCAAAATATAACATTCACATAGACACAAATACACAACGTAGATCACCGGTCAAAATATAACATTCACATAGACACAAATACACAACGTAGATCACCGGTCAAAATATAACATTCACATAGACACAAATACACAACGTATGAATGTTTGCAGATAAAACCTACTGGCTTTGGTACAATTTCTCAAAGCTTATAAAAGCACGTTTTCTTTAAAAGTGGTTATGTTGATCTTTTATTAATTTCTTAATCAGAACCACAGACAGTTTGGATATAAAAGATTTTTTTCTGTACTATTACTATTAATAAAGATTATTTGATGTTGAGCTATTACAGTGTGGAGTTATGTCCCTTGGTGAGTACAGTGTGGAGTTATGTCCCTTGGTGCAGAATGTCTTTGTTCTTTAGGGAGACTGGCCTGACACGTGGCCTGAGGATACGCGACTCAGTCTCAGCACCGAACACACAAACCTGGCCAAATTAATTTCACAGTTTTCCAGGGGCGACAAGGTTTTCTCTATCAAATCCCCGGCTTATTGTCCACGGCACATCTTACCGTCTCTCATTAAGACATGTCTCTTCATATCAATCGAGAAAAAATATATTGGAGAACATTTCATCTTGTCCATATCCCTTACATCATATCTCCAAATTACCACACATTTCCAGTATTAGGTTTTCTTGGAACGGAATTGCTTGCCCTCGCAGACAAAGTCATTTACTCGCTGCTATGATAGGAGCTGGCAGCAAGCTTCCACAACAATCTGACTTTGATACGTCACCGGTACTGCACACCATCAAAGACAAATATTAGCTCGGTCTTGGTGAAATAAATATCTATGAAATGACAATGTCAATATATCTCATGACATAAGGCAGGAGAAGGTGTGACCTAGTTACTCGTTTGATGTAAGGTGATGGACGTTACCGATCTGACGTAGTCTCGGAGTGCGTGCGTAATAGCTTACGTTTAATGTTTATTGTATAAAAGGAATTGCTAAAATAAGTTCGAGATATTGTCATTGTAATCTTAGCTCCTTCCTTTCTGAGTCCACAAAATCTTTTTCGGGTAGAAAAATATACCTTTGATGACACATCAGAGAGACAGTCTTACGTCATATCCCTTCACTATTTAATGGTGACATCCGTATTTAATGGTGACATCAGTATGTATGATGACATCAATATTAATGATGACATCAGAATTTAATGATGACATCAGTATATAATGTTGACATCAGTATTTCATGGTGACATCAGTATTTCATGGTGACATCAGTATTTAATGGTGACATCAGTATTTCATGGTGACCTCAGTATTTCATGGTGACATCAGTATTTCATGGTGACATCAGTATTTAATGGTGACATCAGTATTTAATGGTGGCCTCACTATTTAAGGGTGACATCCGTATTTAATGGTGACATTCGTATGTAATGGTGACCTCACTATTTAAGGGTTACATCAGTATCTAATGGTGACATCCGTATTTAAAAGAGAGATCAGAGTTCAAAGTAAGCGCTTAAGTTTAAAGAAAATGTCATGTGTCATTGGTGTCGTTATCGCTTAAACGGGCGGTGCATGGTTAATGATAAGGACATGGAATTAAACACAGCGCGGAATTCTTCTGCGATGTCACGTTTTAATGAGAGATTAGAGTTCAATGGTGAGGTCAAATATTAAAGAAATGTCAAAGCAGAATTTAGTCGGGTAACCTTGAGCATCCATATGAATTGATGTTAAAATAGTGATGCACCCACCCACCACACCCTATTATAAAAGTGTAATACTTTGCTTTGTTTCGTATTAAGCTGTGTTATTTCTGCGGTTTTTCTATTGTATTTTCAGCCTTATCAACGGTCACAGTTCCTTAAAGAGCCATAGAACATGGTGTTCTGTGTGTCGATGTTATTAATTATGTGACTTTGCAAGTGTAATCGCTGTTATGTGGTCATTGCAAGTTCAATTTCCTTGATGCTGATTCCTGAATAATCGGTACGATTGGGCGGATGTCGCTACATAAAGGAAATCAGTATTATCATTGTTGAAGTTTCCGTGATTGACGATTGGAAACAAGTGTTTGATTTGTTGAATTGTATTGACTTGACATTAGAGGATGTCTGTACCCAGGATCCTTTTGATAGCATTGCATTGTGCTTTGTAGTACGCCAACTGCGGTGTACGCTTTGCATGTATTATTTAATACTGTGGCCAAGATCTTCCAAATACGTTGTTGTTAAAACATTTATTGTGTGATTGAGTCATTGATCTATGATAATTAAATATTCAAAACTCATATGTGATGAACAAGATGGTGGAGGACAGTTCCATTCAAATATATATATGCCTACAGACATGTAATAATGATATCACTTGCAGTTTTACAGCATGATTTTTCGTTAAGTTGTGAAAAGGACAATATATAACAATATAATCATATGTGAGACGTTACTACATTTGTACATGTATATATGTGACGTCATGAAATGATGACATCATAATGAAAACACTACATATAACTTTAAACAGCCAGAAAGAACCATGGGATGTCATTAAAGTACTATTTAACGCGCTATTAACGAATATTAAATAACTATTATTATACATGTACACTGATATAACAAAGTAGTTTCAAATAATATTTAAATATAATATCACAACTGAGCGAGGAGAATTTTCCTTTTAGCAGCAGCGTGCCACAAATATTTACCCAGTCTGTTTAAAGATTTAACACTTTTACAGGTAATTAATTCTATTAGTTTATAGACACTTGGATGTGGATAATAAAACTGTTTGATGTATGTTTTTCTTAAATCAGAATATGCAGGACAAAGTAGTACAAAATGTACTTCATCTTCGACATCATTTTAATCGCAGACTGTACATATTCTCTGACCTCTTGGAATGTTAATATAGCGCCCAAATTCTATGTTAAGACTGTGTGCTTGCATGCGAAATTGACTCAAGGCTTAGTCAGATAGAACTGGACGCAAAAGGTATCAACAAGATGCTTGTACAAATAACATTTTGAAGATGCATCAAAAGCACAGCGTAATTCTTGGATAAATACATCATGAACACGTTGAGCATACATTTGCAAAAAAATATTTTCATTTTGTAC